GTCACCCTTTACATGGCATCAAAACAGGGTTAGCTTCAGAAAGCCTCATGAACAGAAACAGAATATTGTCAGAGGTACTGCCAGGTCAGCCCCTCAGGTCTTAAGGAACCAAAAATATGACTGCTGAAGAACTGCGTTCTTCAAAGTGGAGTTCACCATAATAATGTGAATGAAGTAACACCTGTGGAAGTAATGCCTTCAGGGCATTCACTTGTTGATGGGGGTGTGACTCAAAATGAGAAGAAACAGCTGCAAAAATCTACTAATAATCAAAACTTGAAATATACAAAATATAGGAAAACTGGAAGTCATCAAAAATGAAATGGAACACATAAAGATCAATGTTGTAGGTGTCAGTGAGCGGAAATGAACTAGTATTGTCCATTGTGAATTATAAAATCATATGGTTTACTATGCTGAGAATGACACAATCAAGAGGAATATCATTGCATTCATCATCTAAGAGGACATTACAAGATCTATCTTGGAGTGCAATGTCTATGAAAGGATTATGTATATCCAAATTTAAGGAATACAACAATTATTCAGATTTATTCACCAACCCCCAAAGCTAGTGATGGAGAAATTGAAGAATTTCTTCAGTCAGAAATTAATCAAACCTGCAATCAAGATGTCCTTTCTCAACAATACAAAAGGTGACTGTGTGTGTGGCCTTTTCCAGATGAAATACAAAGAAATATTGACTAAATCTGTCAGAAAAGACAATGGAGATGTTCAATATCAGTAGCTAATACCAGGTCAAAGGCTGACTGTGGAACAGACCATCAGTTGTTCATATTTAAGTTCAGGTTGAAGCAGAATTCAATGAGACCTAGTCCATGAGAGAGAAAATACAACCATGAGTATATCCTACTTAAATTTCAAGAACATTTAAAGAAAAGGTTTGCTGTATTGAACACTAATGACAGAAGACTTGATGAGTTGTGGGAGGGCATCAAGAATACCATTCACTAAGAAACCAAGAGGTCATTACAAAAAAAAAAAGAAAGAAAAGATTAAAGTGGATGCCAGAAGAGACTCTGAAACTTGCTCTTAATCAGAGTAGTTAAAACAAATGGACAAAATGATGAAATAAAAAAACTGAACATAAACTTTCAAAGGGAAGCCTGAAAAGACAAAGTAAAATATTATAATGAAATGTGAAAAGACTTAGAGTTAGAAAACCAAAAAGAAAGACCATGCTCAGCTTGTCTTAGCCTGAAAGAACTCAAGAAAAAATTCAACCTTTGAGTTGCAATATTGAAAGTTGTATGGGCAAAATACTGAATGATGCAGGAACCATCAAAAGAAGATGAAATGAATACACAGAATCACTGTAGTAAAAAGAACCAATGGACATACTTCCATTTCAAGAGGTAAAATTTGAGCAAGAACAAATGTTGAAGAACTTCAAGCTGCACTGAAAGCATCAGCCAAAAACAATACTCCAGGAGTTAATGGAATATCAATTGAAATGTTTCAACAAGCTGATGAAACACTTAAAGGACTCAATCATCTATGCTAGGACATTTGGAAGACAGCTACTTGATCAAATGACTAGAAGAGGTCGATATTTGTACCCATTACAAAGAAAGGTGTGTTAGGCCAGATTGGCTAGAGAAACAAATCCAGTGACACTCATATAGGCAGAAGAAAGAGCTTTATATCAAGAAATAATTATGTATCAAGAAAACATCCCAGCCCAATCTAACTCAAGTCCATAAGTTCGATACTAACCCATATATCCCTCTTAATGTACCAATTTTTTAAAAAATTGGGAGTTAATACACACATCATATTCCATAGCTCAATCACATCAAAAGGTATTATACAATTGCTACCACAATCATTTTCCAAACATTTTTTTTTCCTGGACTCCTTGACATCATCTCCCTTTTACACCGCAACCACGACTGTCCCTCCCACTCCCCCTGAAACTTTTATTCTACTTGCTGTCCCTATAGGTTCATCAATCCTGGGTTTCATTTACCAAAAAACATATAACACAAACCCAAGAGGGTGACCCCCAATGCATCAGTCCCTCTTCAGATTCACACAACCACATGCAATGATGCAGAATATAGGAAGATCACAGGATGGTAGGTGCAAAGTCCCGTGGATCCAATCGTGGTGGACGCATCTGCAGGGCTCTATTAGCAATCAGAGTCCTCCAGTAGGAAGGTGAAGGCAGAGAGAAAGAAGGAGGTTCCCAGGATCCTCCATATGAGAAGGCCAGGCACACAAGGAGTCACCACCAGGCTGTAACCTGATTGACAGTCTAGAATCCACCCTCACATGTTTATATATCTTCAAGTTGACATGAAATTACATAACTACCACAAAAGATAACTCAACAGAATGCTCCATTATAGAACAATATCATTAATACCACAGGCAAGTACATTTTACTGAAGATCATTCAACAAAGGTTTCAGCAGTGCATTGACTGGGAACTGCCAGAGATACAGGCTGGATTCAGACAATGTCAGATGGATCTTGGCTGAAAGTAGAGAATACCAGAAAGGTATTTACTTGTGCTTTATTGACTATGCCACATCATCCAACTGTGTGGATCATAACAAATTAAAGCCTTGAGAAAAATGGGAATTCCAGAATACTAGGTTGTGCTCATGTGGAAACTACATGGATCAAGAGGAAATTCTGAACAAAGAAAGGGACTATTGAATGGTTTAAAATCAGGAAAGGTGTAGTTTAGTGTTGTATCCTCCGACTATACTTATTCAATTTATAAGCTGAGCAAATAATCAAAGAATCTGGATTCTAGAGAGAAGAATGCAGCACCAGGATTGGAGGAAGTCTTATAATCAACCTGTAATAAGTACATGACATAACCTTGCTTGCTGAAAGTGAGGAGGACTTGAAGCACTTGCTGATGAAGATCAAGGATTGCAGCCTTCAGAATGGATTATAGCTCAATGTAAAAAAGATCAATAGCCTTACAACTAGACCAACAGGTAATACCTAAAGAGTGGAGAAAAGATTGAAGATGTCAAGGATTTTGTCTTGCTTGGTTTGACAATCAATGCTCAAGAAGCAGCAGGGAAGAGATCAAATGAAGCATTGAGTTGGGTAAATCTGCTTCACAAAACCTCTTTAGCGTGCAGAAAAGCAGGATGTTACTTGGAGGACTCAGGTGCACCTGACCCAAGCCATGGAATTTTCAATGCCCTCTTAAGTATGTGAAAGTTGGACACTGAATAAGGAAGACCAAAGAAGCATTAATACATTTGAATGATGGTGCTGGTGAGCATTATTGAAAGTACCACGGACTGCCAAATGAACAAACAAATCTGTCTTGGAAGAAGTAACACCAGAGTGCTCCTTGAAGGCAAGGATAGTAATACCGTCTTGCAGATTTTGTCAAGAGAGGCCAGTTAGTCCTTGGAGAAGGATATCGTGCTCAGTAGAGTAAAGGGGCAGCAACAAAGAAGGAGGCCCTCAACAGAATGGAGTGACACAGTGGCTGCAACAATGGGATCGAACATAAGAACCATGCGGGACTGTGCATTGCTTTGCTGTGTTGTCCACAGGGTTGCTATGAGTCATAACTGACGCGATGGCACCTAACAACCAGAATATAATTTATTGAGGTATGTACAAAGAACTTCCAGACAATGTTAATGATTCAAAAGTTTATTAAGGAAGGTAATAGGCTTTAATGTCAATGAGAAATGCTCACGATACAGCTGCTCATCAGGAGATGTTACAATGTCCTTCCAGGGTTGTTAATACATTTCCAAAAGGTGCAACCCTCCACTGTAAGCTTCAACTCTAAGGTACTCAGCTCCACTTCTGTGATTTAGCAAACTCAACTTTCCCAAATAAAACTCCAGAGGCACCCCACTCCAAACCAGTCTCTAGCACCAAAGCACTTGTTTTATTTGCTTCATTCGCATGGAAGTCCTCCACTCTATTTCATGCTTTGGGTCCTGGTTCTGCTGCTGCGCCTCTAATATCACAGCTGTCTTCTGGATCCAGGAGGTTCCCTGCTCACGTGTCTCAGGGTCTGGGGTGTGTGTGTGTGTGTGCTACTCCTGTCTCTTCCTGATGGTAAGATTCCCCTCTGCTGCTTCTCAGAGGACTCATTTTTACACCCAGTGGGACTGTGTTCCAATGAAGCCTGTTCACAGTCACTCATCGGTGAATCCTATCTTTGCCTTCTTTCTTTACCCAGATCGATGCAGGGACATGTCATCTGGTGACAGTTACAGAGACTTAGACTCTAAGAGCCACATTCAATAACTGAATGCCCATGCAGTAATTCTAATGTGCAAGCAGAATTGACAGCCACTGGTCTAATTGAGCAAAAAGTCGGCAGGGCCATTTTTAGAGTGTTAAGACCTATCAATAAGATTATTCAGTGTTAGAAGTGTCAGCTTTCATGCAGGAAACCTAGGTCTATTTATAGCCAATGCACTTCAAGTATAGTCACTACCTTCCTGTCAGTGAAGGCTTCCATGCTGCTATGTTACTAAACAGGTTTTAGGCAAGTTTCCAGACTGAGATAGACCAGGAAGAAAGGCCTGACAATCGACTTCCAAAATTCAACCAATGAAAACCTTATGATCTTACCTGTGCTCTCTGGTGGAGTTGAAGCAGGACTCACTTACTCACTGCTATTGAGTCAATTCCAATTCATAGTGACCCTATAGGACAGGGTCGAATTTCCCTTGTGGGTTTCTGAGACTGTAACTCTTTAGGGGAGTAGAAAGTTTTCTCTTTCTCTCACAGAGCTGCTGGTGGTTTCGAACTGCTGACTTTGGGGTTAACAGCCAAACACGTGCATAACAATTAGGCCACCAGGGCTCCCTGGTGCAAGAGTGAGTGGTCAGCATTTTTCCCCTGTTATGCCTGGGATGGCCATGATTGGTGAACCTCTTTAATAGCAACAAACAACAGGGTCCTTCATAGGACACTGTGGTACCAGGCTAAGGTTCTGACATTCTTGCAGGCTAACTGATTCTTATCTCTCTCCTCAGATGGTGCTCCTGGCCAGGTGTGAGGGGCATTGCAGCCAGGCATCTCGCTCTGAGCCCCTGGTGTCTTTCAGTACTGTCCTCAAGCAACCCTTCCGCTCTTCCTGTCATTGCTGCCGCCCCCAGACCTCCAAGCTGAAGGCATTAAGGCTACGCTGCTCTGGGGGCATGCGACTCACGGCCACTTACCGGTACATACTTTCTTGTCACTGCGAGGAGTGCAGCTCCTGAGACCCACTACCAAGTGACTTCTGGATGCGACAATTTCCCTGGACAAGGCTTTTCAGCCAGCTAGGGAAGGACTGGAAAGATAAGAGTTAAGGCATTAAAAATGCAATCCCCAAAGGATTCTGCATATTCCAGCAATAAAGACTATGTGCTTATTGACGCAGAGATACTCTGGGAACTTCTTTTTGGTTCTCATTTTCATTACAATTTCTCTTCAGACTTAGGCATTTTCCCCTTGGCTCTGAATGCTAGTTGGGTTTTCAACAAATCAATATTAATAAGAAAAATTGTACTCATGCAATAGTGTGGCTGGCTGTCACTGTTTGGTGCTTATGGGGAAAGAATTCATTTTAGAAAGCAAAAAGCTCAAATCCCTCTGGAATATCTTCTGCTGCTTTTTTTATTTGGTCATTTTGGTTTAGGGTTGTCATTGCTGCTAAAAAGCTACCAATTTCAAATGTCCAGGCACCAAACATGTGACTTTGTTTAGCCAGGATTACTCATAACTATCTAACTGATAATAAAATAACTAATAACCAAATTGTCTTATGTCATGTAGGAACCCTGGACAGCTATAATGATTATTTGTAATTGACTTTGGGAAATTAAAAGTAACTGAAAGAATTTTCCACCTGAAGAATCTTTCAAATAAATATGGTAAAACTTTTATAGGGGAACATACTTGCAGAGCCATGCACAAATGTGGGTCCTGCACTGACATTAAAACAGGCATATATGTTTTAGCGACATGGAGAATACATGATACTCAGCCACGAAATTAGACAACCAAGTATGAATCTATTTGGTGCTGTGCTGCAATAGCTTTAGCTATGCTGTCGGCATCATTCTCTAACATCCACTTGTCCATGTAAAGCTTAGATATTTGGCTCAAATATGTGCATATTTTCATCCTTGAGGCTCAAAATTTGAGTTATTCCCATGTTTTGAAATAAAAAGAGAGTATCTTTAAAATTTCAACTGTGTTTAATTTCTTTGTCAAGATCATGCATGCTGTGGACTATACAATATATACATACATATCTATAGCTCACTAGTGCTTAGGCACCCCTATCATGTAGAATGGTACAAACAAAGAAGGAGACAGGATTCTAGAATGCATGATGAGGACTTTTTATTTAATCAATATTCTAAGAGGTATTGGAGCCTATGAAAAGTCAGGCATTGTCCTTTGGAAATGAACACACAAATCTCATCAGTTTGATTTCCTTATATGTTTGAGAATGAAATAAAGACATCACCTCTTTTTCAATCTCTTCACTTTTCTCAAAAGAGTTTATGTCTCCAAAAGTGAAGTCTGAAGAGCCAGCCGGAGAAATAATTGTCTACAAGTACTGGTGTCTGTGCTACTGACTATCCAGTGATGTGATTCAAGGATTCTACTTTTAGGCATTTCAACACTAACACAGATTTGACAATTCGGTTTCCAGGGCAACGTTGACACTATGCTATCCTGCTTAACCCGAGATGCTAGTGCTTCCCACTGTTAGTACAGCCAACCCGTGAATTACTTTTCCTGTACAGATGATGGCTTTGTTGTACATTCTTTGACCCAGCTTTCACACTTTGTTTTCCAGAAAGCCAGCAGTGTTAAGTTTGTACTTGTGGCTTTGGAACAAAATGAAACTACCACTATTAAATCATGACCTTGACCTTAACCTTTCTGATGACAGAACCAGGAAGGAAGTCCACCAAATTGGAGGGTTTCCTCAATTTCAAATGTGAAATAGTGATATGTACATGAAGAAAAATTTTGCCTTAAAGACAATTTAATACTGAAAGTTAAATCGTTATAATTCTTAACAGATTATTAAAAGGCATTAACTGCTGATCACATTTATGGCTGGTCTTTCATGTCACTAATCTAAAAGTGAGAATAACAATACTTGCCTTAAAGTATCTTCTCTGTCTTTGAAAACTCAATCTCTTTTGAGAATGTATAACATATTTCCCAAATGCCACTCTTTACTACCTTACTAACAATTTGCCACCAGAGTGGGGCATTAGAAGACTTGTATCTTTCAAATTGTCTGGAAGCCATTGACAATATCCCTTCAAACCTGATTACCTGGTCATTTCCCCTACGGAAATGAGCAGACGATAGCTTGGCATATTAGAGAACCACAGGCCAGTGCCTTTGAGGAGGTCATTAGAAATCATCGTTCCTCTTCTGTCCATATATTTAAATGAGAAGTAGAGGCTTGAAGAAATATAAGAACTTGCCTGAAATCGCACAGTTAGTCTCAGATATAGACCTAGAATCCAGGTTATTGTTCATCAGCCCCTGAGTACTTTCCTCCCTCTGACCCTGGACAGTGAAAATAACATCTCTCTTTTCAGAATTTTTATATTCTGAGAATGGATAATATACTGGAAGAGTGTGGTGAGATAGCTTAAAGTTTAATGGGGCATGCCAAGGATGAGAAAGAGGGAAAAGGAGTTATATTTTCACTAAAGACCTAAAAATATCCTTGGGAACTGAGAGCATTCAGATATTATTAGATATTAAAGTACTATGGAGCTTTTAGTATGTCTTTTTAAAAATTAAGCTTATTTAGCCTTATTTTAGTGTCTACCCCTAAGGATTCAGGCAGAACCAAATGAAAACATTGATCAACTAAAAACATTACTCCCAGGATTCCTAAGGAATGTTAACTTGTATCTCCCACATACTGTGCATGAGAAAAATGGAAAATAAGATATATCATAATCTTAGTAGCATAAATGTTAGAAATTGGTATGACAGGCCATTGTGGTGGACGAAAAGCCTGTGGTTAACTGATACTACTTTAATCATTTATAAACATTTATAAGCATTTAATTATTGTTGTTAGTTGTTATCAGTTCTGCTACGACACGCGGTGAACCCATGAACAAAAGAATGAAAGCTTGCCTGGTTCCACATCATCTTCATGATTGCTGGCCTGCTTGAATTCTTTTTTGCCTTCCAGCCTAAGGGACTCATTTTCCAGCACTGTATCTGACAATGCTTTGTTATGATCCATAGGGTTTCTGTGACCTTTCATCCAAGTCTGGAAGCTCCACAGAATCCTGTCCAGCCTGGTAATCCCAGTGGCACAGGTTCTAGCATCATAGCAACATGAAACCATCAAAGTAGAACAAGTAGACACCAAAGACTTCATATATGAAGAAAGACAACCATTATTAAAAAGACAAGAAGGAAAGAGAATGCCAAATTGGATGTCAGAACATGCTCTGATACATTCTCGTGAATATAGAGTAGTTAAATCCAGTGGAAAAATGATTAAGTAAAAGAGCTGCATTGATGGTTTCAAAGGACAAGACCAAAGGACATAGTATTATAAATGAAAATAGCATTATAAATGTACAAAGACCTCCAGTTCGAAAATAAAAAGGAAAGAACACACTCAACATTTTTGTATCTGAAATAACTGAAGAAATCTTCAAACCTAGAGTTGTAATATTGAAGGATTCCCTGAGCAAAATATTGACCAACACAGGAAGCATCCAAGAAGATTGAAAAATTACATAGAGTCACATTCAACCATCTCATGAGGTAGCATGTGATCAATAGTGGGTGGCACTAGAAGGATAAGATCAATATGCACTGAACACATACATTGGTGAAAAATGTGGCTCCAGTTACTGACGGTGTACCATCTGAGATGTCTCCCAAAACAGATGCAATTCTGGAAGAACTCGCTGGTCTATGCCAAAGCCAACTGACTGGAAGACACCCATATTTGTACTTATTCTAAAGAATGATATTCCAAAAGAATGTGGACATTATTGAACAGAAACATTAATATCACACATGTACAGAACGCAAAAACAACCTGCACATGGAATTGATTCTGACCCCTAGAACCCCTGTAGGCCAGGGTAGACCTGCCCGTGTGGGTTTCTGAGACTATAACTCGACAGGAGTGCAACGCCTTGTCTTTCTCCCTCAAAGTGGTTGGTGGTTTGGAACTGCTGACCATGCAGTTAGCAGTCCACATAATCATGATGCCACCAGGGCTCAGAAGAAGCTACATCAATAGAAAACTGCCAGAAATGTAAGCTAATGCAGAAGAAGACTTAGAATGAAGGATGTCATTGCTGTTATCAGGGGGGAAAAAAACTTTATTGAAAGCGAATAATATCAGAAAGATGTTTACCTTTGTTTTATTGACTATGCAAATACAGTACATTGTATTTTGTGGATCATAAAAAGTTATAGATGATACTGTGAAGAATGGGAATCTCAGAATATTCAATTATAGTAATATGGAACCTGTACAAGAGGTAGCTGTTCATTCTAAAAGATGATCCTACATGGCTTAAAATCAGGAAAATGTGCCTCAGGTATGTAGTCTTTCATCATATTTATTTAATCTGTATGCTGAGCAAAAAATTCAAGAAGCTGGACTGTAGGAAGAAGAATTCAGCCTCAGAATTGGAGGAAGATGGTTCACTAACAATCATTGATACATAGATGATACAATCTAGCTTGCTAGAAAGGAAAAGGACTTGAAGCACTTACTGAGGAAGATCAATTATCAGCTTCATTATAGGCTATACTTCAATATAAAGAAAACAAAAATGCTCACACCTGGACCAATAAACAACATCATAATAAATAGAGGAAATTATTTTTTTAGGGATTTAATTCTACATGAATTCACACTCCATACCCATGGAAGCAGCAGTCAAGAAATCAAATGACATATTACATTGGCCAACTATGTTGCAAAAATATTTAAAATATTAAAACAAAAAGATGTCACTTTGAGCACTACATATGTCTGACCAAATCACCTCAGATACTTGTGTAAGCTGGACAATGCATAAGGAAGACTTAAGAATAAATCATGCATTTTAATAATGTTGCTGGCAAAGAATATTAAATATGCCATAAAAAACAAACATGTCTTTGGAAAAGGACAGTCAGGATGTCCCTTAAAAGCTAAGATAGAAGAATCTGTCTCCGATACTTTGGGCATGTTAGCAGAAGGACGTCATGCTTCATTAGTGTAAAAGAGGAGCACCTCCCACAAGATGAATGGATAGAGTGGATACAACAATGGAATCTAGCATAGCAATAGCTGTGAGGACAGAGCAAGACGGGGCAGTGCTGGGTTCTGCTGTATATTGGTTCTCTGTGAGTCAGAACGGATTCTCAGCACCTAACAGCATACTGATGAAATGTTCTGATATCTTTTACCACACATTTCCCAGAGTATGGATCTTTAACTTGATTATGGTTGTTATTTTAAATGTCCATTAATTAAAGACCTTCTGCCCACCCCCCTACCATATTAATGAAACTTCATATGTTATAGAGAGAACATTTTAAATTTGGTGACGATGAATATGGGGTGATGATAAGGATAAATCCACTGGACTGCTAATCAAAGAAGACTTGAAAGGGCAGCTTGGAAATTTACTTTCTAAAAATTAGTCATTGAATACCCCATTAAGCACAGTTCTCTTCTGGTACACAAGACTTGCTATGAATTGGAGTTGATTTGGTGACAACAGTATGGTGAGAATGGTAACATGATGGTCAGATGCACTGTCAATTCCTTTACAGATAAGCCTCAGCTAAAGAGAGCTGCCTTACCCAATATTCATTTTAATGGTTGGTGGAAGGAGGAATATAATGATCTGGCCATTCGACTTGAAGATGGACAACCCTAATGGGCTGCCTGCTCCAGAGGTCTCCGTCAGTTATCTGACCGACAACTGTGCTCCTTTTCCGGTTCAATCCTACTTTCCTTTCCTTCTAGAAGTGCTCAACCCTAACAAATATCATATCAGAACCAAGTCTACAGTAAAAGTAAATACTGCTCAATACACAATTGTTCAATAATGGTGGTCTAGGGGTAGATGTGTGGATATATACTCCGGCTGAATGGGTGTGGGAGGAAGAATGGGAACACACCCACATGTATATATAAATAAGGAGTCCTGGTACCTCAGTAGTTAAGCATTGG